ATATATTTATTATTTATTTTAACTCTTATAGTTTTCATGAAAAATGGCAGAAGATGGCATGGTATTAAACACAATCCACGCAGGCGCTCTACGCTGACACCTGTCTGCACGTGTGCCCTTCACATTTAGTTGAATTAATCTTTTGTGTAAATAGATCATTTAATGTCCTTTATTTTCCAGTTTTATTTTAATGTTTTCATTTTAAAATAATACAATTGGAAATTTAGAATCAAACTGCCTTATATTATTGTATTGGCACCCATAGCACCACCTAGTGGTCGACCAGATCTAATACTGGTGTAACTGATTATATATGAATGCACCCATAATGTGTTATATGCATTTACTTGTATACATGTGTCTTTGTATCTTGCAGAAGGGTGAATCGGTGAAGAAGATGCGAGAGGAGGTGAGTGTAGCTGTGGTTGTGATGGTTTTCTTCATGTGTTAGTGATCGTCTTTCGAGCCTCTCTAAAGGAGCCTGTTGTTCTCTGCAGAGCGGTGCTCGGATCAACATTTCTGAAGGGAACTGCCCCGAACGCATCATCACCCTCGCAGGCCCCACCACCGCCATCTTCAAAGCCTTCTCCATGATCATTGAGAAACTAGAGGAGGTACAAACCACTTTCACTCACTTGGCAACTCTGTTCTAATACTCCTCTAATGTACACGAGTCATGCACTGTAAGATCAGGAAGATGTAGTACAGTGAATGGAGTCTGATTTCATATCTCGAGATAAAGAAATATAAACAACATAAGCAAGTCTTTAAGAAGTCTTACTGTCTTAAGACCTCTCCAGAGTATTAAGAATTTTAAAATTGTAATGTGATATTAACATACTTGCTCAAATACAAAAAAGAAAATTATTTTAGTGTAAAAACTGTAAATGGATACCATGTTGGATTATTGTAAATATGGATTACTTCTCATGTGTTCAGCATGATATACAGTAAATCCAAAATTTATTTAGATACCTTCAACATTTCTCACATTATCACAGTTAATTCACTATAGTTTAGAACATGGGAATATAATATCACAAGAACTCAGAGTTAAACTGTGTCAGAACAAATTCATCTTGATAATGCCAGATAACTTTGATAGAAAGGTATGGAATAAATTCGGTTGAATAGCTGTGAGCTGTTATATTTAAGAACACAATTAGATAAAACCAATTTAGCTCAACCAATTACCAAGCAATGCTTCAATTTGTCCAGTCTGTGGTGTAAAAAGGTCGCATTAGCAATTAAAGAAAAAACACTTGAGCAAAACATGGTCAGGTCAAAGTGTCGGAATAATTTTTGATCCCAAATTGTTATCAATTTTACTGTTAGTCCACTGTATGAAGAACTTTTGGGTATAATATGTCACAGTTTGCTTTATTTTGCTATCCTCACTTACATAAATGAACTATAGTGTCCTGCATCCACTAGTATAAAAATATCAAACATTATCTCTGCTGTCTGAATAATTCTTAGTTTGATTGTATGTGATATTGTGTGGTTTATTTCTAATGTTAATTTTAGTTTGCTCCAAGTTATTTTAAAGAATTGCAGTAGCTGTGGTAAGGTGTGAATGTTCATGTGCACCAGGACATCAGCAGCTCCATGTCCAACAGCACGGCCACCTCGAAGCCCCCGGTCACGCTGCGGATCGTGGTGCCGGCTAGCCAGTGCGGCTCGCTCATCGGCAAGGGCGGCTGCAAGATCAAAGAGATCAGGGAGGTGAGCGAGGGCACTCTGTGCTCCACTGAAATGCGTCACGAGGGAAATGAAGGGCTTTCTTTATTGGCTGGTGAAGATGACCATTAAGCTCTGTTTCTGTCTGTAGTCGACAGGAGCTCAGGTACAGGTGGCTGGAGACATGCTGCCTAACTCTACTGAGAGAGCCATTACTATCGCTGGGACCCCGCTGTCCATCATCGAGTGTGTCAAACAGATCTGTGTGGTCATGCTGGAGGTAAAACTTCACCTTCTCACCCTTGACTCTGGCTTCTTTGACTTTTTCTGCTGTAGTACACCCAAAACAGAGTTTCTATGAGTCCTCAAAATTGGCTTCTTTTTTTTTAACACGTAATCAAGTAAAACACGTAAAATCAATCATTTAGTGTACTGCAAGTTCATGCTTATCTGCATACATGTTTGACTGCCACGCCCACATCTCAACATACAACATACATACAACCAAGACTGCCCCTTTTTTTTTGTTATTTTGTTACATTTGGATTTACATTATTTGCAAAAATGTGTTATTTGCTCAGTGTTGCAAAATCCGTAGTTTTCACCATTTTTGGAATTGGGCTAATTTTATACTGCTGTCACGAGCTGTTTTCTTTAGTCTGCGCATTGAAGCGAAATCCCCTGCCAGAGTTCAACCAAGGTGGGACCCCCTGGAGCATGATGTTGGAGGAAATTTTAATTGTTTTTTTTTTTTATATATATATATATATATATATATTTATGTATTTATTTATTTTTACAGTATATACAGAAACTGACTTTCAAAAACAAACCTACATTGTGTTTTTTTTTTTTTTTAAGATGCAAATCAAGAC